CAGGGCAGTATTTCTCCAGAGAGCTATTTCAGATTCCACATAAGAGTAACTGGTGGCCTTGGATAAATCATTCCTCTCATTTATGTGCTGAATGGGAGAAAACAAAGTCAACAACTGATGCATGCAAAAGCATTTGGAGGTGATGGATGGAGACATTATGGTGCATTTCGTCAATGGCATGCCATTAGAGAAACCATTTCATAGAGTAAATTAAGAAAACAAACCAGCTACGTGACACACTTGGAATTGCCACTGGCCACACCGGTTTTTCTCCTTCCGGAAAGAAGCTACATGGGATTGACATTGTCAATATCATACAGATCCCTTCTCCTAAATTAGCTGCGTGTTCTTGTCTGAGACTTACACCCCCAGTTCCCAGTTCCCCATCCTGATGGCCACTCATGTAACTGGAGAAACCTGTGCGTCGCAGACCCCAATTTTCTTTGTTTGCTGTCTGAACTCTTATTTAAATCTCTGATTACTATTTACCTTCACGTGTCAGTATCTCGTTTTCTTTACTGAGTTTCTTGCCCTTTCATGGCAAGTACTGGGTCTTACAAATGAAGCTTCCTGGCACAGCCCCTGTACTGTAAATACGTATTTCATCTGTGATTGATCTTGCCTATCTTTCTCATACACCTGGCTGTTGTTTGCCAAGCACTGATTAATTCATTAAGAAAGTATTTTTTCAGACCCGAGTGCTGGGAGTGCAGACAGAGGGCGTGGGCGCTGGCCACAGGGGGATCAGGGTCAGACGTGCAGTCAGGACGTGGTGGAGACGCAAGTGCGTGTGGCAGGGCCGAAGTGCAGCGCTCTGGGTCGGGGTAGGCTTCTAGAGAACACGAGTCCCTTGGAGGGCTAAGCAGTTGTTACCTAAGCTTATGGCCAAACTGTGCAAGGGTGTTTGGTGAGCCCAAGCAAGCCTAGGGTGTTTGGGTCCTAAGTCATCTGCTATTTCAGGAGCTTTGATTGAAAAAGCTCAGCCTACTACCAAGGTCACTGAGAGTGTTCAGATGCACCTCATGGTAACTGTGGCTTCATAAAAATCAAAGCTGATGGATGACGGGGAGGCTCTCTGCCTTCGTGTGTTTAGTCTACCCGAGCTTTTAGTTCTCCTGCGGCTGTGCTTCCTAATGGAAATTCATCTCTTTCTCTTCCCATTACCCAGGCAGAGATGCTCTGGGATGTGAAAGAGGCTTTTTACCTCAACATTTTTGTCCTGCGAGGCATCCCTAATTCAGGAAGGAAATGAGGAGGAGTTGAGAAAAACCCACCACAAATGTTCTGTCAGGTAGCTCAAAGTCAGGCAGGAATTTAAAGAGCTTAATTTCTTGATGGCTTGAGTTTTCAGCTCTGTTCCTCTGACTTAGTCAAGTTCAAGGAGTTTGCTTTCTCTTGTGCAGGCTGTGGCTCATAGGAAACAAGGCAAGATAAATGATTCTTTTTGTTCTTTATTATTATTATTATTTTTGAGAAATTAGGATTGATGGAATGAAAATTTCCACCCAGGTCCTGCTGGTATTACCCCGACCGTTCTGACCAATCCCTTGTGAGGCAGGAATGAGCCCCATTATGCAGGTGTGGAGTCTGAGGCTGAGAGATATAAAAGAGCACATCCCGGGCCATCAGACATGTCTGATTCCAAAGCCGGGGGTTCGCACCAACACTGACATCTTCCAGAACTGACCTACACGTGTCTGTCAAAAAGCATGACAAAGAGCCGTCGATGTTCTGAGGTAGAAAAGGTAAAAACCAGGCATCCGTCTCTTGTAGCGGGAGGAGCTGGGGGCCCTTCAGAGCTGTAGGAGGCCTGGTTGAAGGGAAAGACAGCACACCCCCATGGGAATAATCGGAGATCAGCGCCCGAGGTTTCTTTCCAATAATCTGGTTTGCTCCTCACAGACTGGCGGTTTGTTCTCTGCTACAAACTCACATTGTACGTGGCAAACACGGACTCCTGTCTTTGATTATTCATGAATGTCAAGCTGAAAAAGCAGTTTGTACTCAAAATTCAGAGTCCAAATGCCAACATGGGGCTACAGTTTAGAACTGCTGTGTGACCGTGGTGGTGCCACCGACCTTCTCTGAACCTCTCCTGATCTATAGAAGCTGACTGGGTCTCAGGGAAGGCTGGTGCTTCTCAGGAGGCTTCTGAATCAGGGTTTTTCTCTTTCCGTGGAAAAATAGGGCAGGAGAAAAAAGGTAAAGGGACACACAGTCGCAATTCTGCCACTTCACTATAAGGCAGAGGAAAAAACATTCTGGGTTAAGAAGCTGAGGTGTAGAAGTGGCCCTGGGGCCTTCTGTGAAATCACACGTTAGGACTGTCCAAGCCTGGAACCCTCCCCAGGTGCGATGACTTCCGACTCCACGCTTAGCAGTGTTTTCAAATACCTCAGCTCGGGGCTGAATCTTCAGAACAAAGTGGACCTTAATTCAGTTTTGCTTAATAATAAAATAAAAAGATTATTAAAACTTTCAGGAAAGTGGAAACAGGGCATGAGAAGATACTCGGACATCAAAATAATATATGGATGTTAACTCGGCTAGAAGGGGGTAGAGAAGGGGGCATCCTGGGGCACAGCCAGTGTTTTATCTGCAATTGACAAACCCCAAATCCTCTCAGCTTCTGTTTCTCTCTACTTAAGACCTAGGGCACAGTATTTATTTACTTAAGTGACGGAGATGAAGACAGGCTTAAGGCTGGCCACCTGTCAGAGTCACAGTGACCTGTTTTTTAAAGAGATTTCAGCAACAACCCCTCCCTTCAAGCTTTATAAGACAAACGGGGACTGTGTGAAAATACATAGAAAAAATTTCACTAATTGGGCTGGATGGAGATGGTGAGATGGAGTGAGAGACTCCAAGTGGGGAGAGACGCTGCAAGAAAAGACCAGGTCCACGGACGCCCTTTCTCTTCGGAGATTATTGCAAGGGATTTTGCAAAGATATCCAAACTGGAAAGCCAGGCCTTCTTATCTGCCTCTCATAAATGCCCTTGGGATTCTTCTGGTTTTTCATACTCTTATGAAGACAGTTCCCAAGGGACACAAACACACACACTTTCTCAGAAAACAATACCACTTGTGCTCTCAAGGTTGGGTAGTCAACAGACAGAATCCTGCCTGGAGAAACTTAAGAAAAAGCACGGATGAATCTTGTTTAATAAGCACACATGTACCACTTCCCGTATGCCAGGCAGTGATGTCCAGCAATAAACTTGTATAATACTTAAACTCCCTCCTCCTCATCAGCTCTATTTCATAGAGAAAGTGAGTAGCCAGGTGAAGGTGTCCAAGTCGGGACCAGGATTTGAGCACATGTGTTGGCTCCAGGGTCTGTGTTCTGTTCACTGCACTGTGCTGGACCTCAACAGAGACAAAGGGGTCATGAAGCCTCGTGCAGGGTGCTCCACAAGGCTGCTATTTGAGGGACAGGAAATACCCCCAAAACACCCGTGTCAGCCTAATATCAGCTCCTAGAGGCCATCAGCTTCCTTAGTCCAGAGGCATGGGAAAGGGAAAGGTCTATGAGTTCAGATAAACCTGCTTTTGAATCTCCCATTTTCCTATCTATAAAGTGTTGGTTATGGGACCTTCCTCAGGATTCAGTGAAGATTAGCAATAAAAACAAGTCCCCCCCACCCCAGCAGAGTGTCCTGATGGAAGAATAGAAAGTACCCAATTAGTAAGAGTGATCTTGAATATTTCCTTGTTATGTGGAGAGAGCTTTAGGCTTTCAGACTGTCATTATGGGTCTCCTAGAGGCACTTAGTGCATATATTATGGTGGATTGGCTAAAGGAAGCTCAGTCTATGTACCAGTTTGCCTTCTAGATTTAGTAACCTTCACACAATGGAAAGCAGTTTTAGGAAGTGCTTGGCTTAATTAGTTTGTGTCCAGACATGCTCTCCAGGGCCCTGCACACACACTTGTCATCATGATCATCCACCTGTTTCCGGAAGGCTTGCTTTTCCAGAATTCCAAGCCAAGCTCTTGGTGTTACAACCGAGTGAGATTCTTATTCAGTAGTCTACCTCTCACTCCAGCTCCCTAAGAAGGGGCTACAGGTCAACATCCTCTTCTACTGATGCAGCAGGTCAAAGAAGGGTTGTCACCTTCTTAGCTGCCATGGTCCTGGGCTACTTTGAGTAGGCAAACTTGAGTTACTGCTCTGAAAGCTCAGATCAAAATGTCCACCATGGGCTATGGTGGCATCTAAGGCACTGATTAAACATTAACAATGACAACAGACTACGATGATTACATGTGAGTCTGAGCTGGACTTCTGGCCTAGAACATTTTCTTTACTCTACTGGTCCCGAGATCAAGAATTCCCTTCAGGAACTGCACCAAAGGATCCATAATGGGTAGGAAGGAAGTCGCATCAAAATACAATCTAACTGGCACTAGAATGGAGGCTTTGGGGATGTGCACTGCAGATTTAAGATCATGCTGCTTTTTCACAGTCGTTTTTCCAGAGGTCAACAATAAAAAAAGACAGAGAGAATTTTTCCCCACTCCACTGCCTCCTGCTCCTGGTGGCCACAGCATTTCAGTGGTGAGCATTATTAAAAATACCAGTGAGGGGAAGGTGGTCACTGCTCTTGGGGGCGAATGAGAATAGGCAGGGTTTATTCTGTACATTCAACTGCTCCCCCACTCATTATCACAAACACACCCCAAAGAGTGTCCCCAGCCTGGAATGTGTCATGACCCTGCTCCCATACAAATTGCAATGGCCAAAGAGGAACTCTTTACCCTCTGAAATCTAAGGTGAGACGGATGACAGTGTGATGGAGGGAAGAGTACGCTGAGTGCCTTATTGATCCACCTGCCAGCCCAGGAATGGTGAGTAATAAAAATTTATTGAAAATTAGAAAAAAAAAAGTCACTTATTCTCATTCTTCTGAAAGGGCTCACTAACGCGGCATATGAATAATCCCCCCCCCAGGACAAAAATATCAACCTCCCACCAGCCAACCCTCCAAATGGCACAGATTTAAAAATCTTGCAATTTTATTTGCATATAAAGGCCGCTAGATATAGAATATCACAATAAATTTAAAGAAACAACTGCTTTCCTAAATTTCATTAACAAGGTAACATAAAATAGAATAAAGCCCAACAGCATTTACAATGGGAGAACAGAAATGACTATTAGCGACAATATCTTGTGCTAGCGAAGATTGCATCGACACACAGTGCAAAATGGGAGGGGAGAGAGGGAGTAAGAAGACAATTCAGGGTATTTAAATAGAAAGGACAACTAAGCCTTATTTTCGTTAGCTTCCATTGCATCCATTTACGTCTATACACGCCTGTAACTGTACCTAGATTTAACTCGAGCTCTTTAAGACCTCGAGTTCTGAGACAAAAATGTGTCCATTCCTCTAGACATCCGAAGCACTGCTCTACCGTCCCTTCGCAGCGGTACTGTCCTGGGCAATATTAAACTCCTACCTTAGTCCTCAGACACCAAAAATACTTATATATATAAACCCATATTGAAAAGGAGTCTGCACACTCATTTCCTTTCTAACCATCTGAAACACCTGCTCTTCACAGATTCCGTTTCTGTATTTTTAAAGCTAAAATAATTTAAAAGACACACACAATGAGACCTTGTGTAACCGCCATAGGAATCTCACTAGCTAGGCCATCCTTTCAACGAAGGCCGTTTTCTTCCCTGGACACAGCTTTCTTTATATGAGAGGGTAAAGACAAGCCTCTTCCACGTCTAAGTCGAGCAGATTGCTATGAATCGGGGCCACGTCTGCAAAAATAAAAAGCATCACCAAGAAAACAACAACAACAACACATTAAAAATTAAAATATTTCAAACAATACTCTTAAACAGTTGTGCAAATCTGGGTTGGTTTTTAACACATTGCCTACCTGTTTCTTATATATTTTTTTTTTCTTCCAGCTTAAAGCATATTTAAAATACGACCTTTTATCACTTTTTAAAAGAAAGCTTGGCTGTCCTTTGGCAAACATTAACAATTTACAATGGCATGGCCTTTGAGAAAACAGAAGTCATTTTACAAATTCACAATGCTCCTTTGATTTCCAATGGATGCCCCATTTAAAAAAAAAATAAAATAAAAAAACAAAAACAAAAAGAAGAAGCACAACCTCTAGCATCGTTTGTGTTCCAACAATTTACAAAAAGAACTCACAGGATTTGGAAATAAGTGAGAGAATGTAAGTTTATAATTAGAAAAATGGCAGTTTATAGACCTTCCCTCACATTCCAATAGAGCGTCAGAGCTTCAGGAGCCCTGTGGGTTTGGAAGGTCAAATATAATTGGAGGGTTGGTCGGTTGAAAGCTGACTGTACATGTTGAGGCATTGATGTACGTTGTGTAACCGTCGGTCATGATGCCATAACCTGTAGGGAGAGAATGTCACATTTACTGTAACATACACCATCGGTGGTGAGGGAATGTAGGATTGTCGGGCCAGGAAAACAAAACAAAACAAAAACACCTTTGTCAGTGGTGAGATGAAATTCAGTTGAACCTTCCTGGATGTGATGACTTTCAGAAGCTACTATCCAATTTTATTTTGTTGTCTTTAAAGGAGAACACCCTCTCCTTCAACAAAGTGTGACTTCTCCCCCTAATTTAAACACCAAAGTTGTCTAGGAAACGCTATGATTTTGTTACTGATGAGAAGAAGGAAAACATTCTTCTCCCTTTTTAAAACAGGATTTTCATTTCAAAGCCCTGTATTTACATGATTGAGTTCCAGGGAACGAAATGAGTAAGATAAGAATTGTTCCGCAGGGGCAGGCACAGCTAAATTTCCAACAGGGCTTCAGGACAGGTGAGGAGGGAGAGGGAGCAGACAGATAATAGATGTTCAGTTTACTTATCTAGGAAATAATCTCTGGATTGCCTTCATGAAAGTTAGCCGTAAGTGGTTTAATCTTACTCGAGTGCCTTTAATGCAAATGTCCACGCGTAGAAACATTACCATAGGACCCCATTTGCTGAGCGTACCTGGACACTAGCTCAAACAAAAAGACTTCCCATATACAATATAAACCTCTCACGACTTCCTGGAAGAAAGTTAAAAAGGCCACCCTAGGTCTTCAGCATATATGTTCCTTTTATAATTTTTAAGATGTTGAAATTTCCGTGGATACCTGATATTTGATTTACAGCCTCTGCAGCTAAGTTCATAATTCTATTTTGACATTAGGCTCTTAGGGTGTATAAAAATATAGCCATGAAAAAATAAAATTACCAGGACTTATAGAAATAACCCCTAGGGCTCCCTCCGCCCCCCATTTGCTAAAATTTCTCTAAGCCAGCCTGCGGAGAGCTTAATGAGGGTCAATGGAAAAATCTCTTTAGAAAAGAGGCATTTAAAATCTGCACTTTTTAGTTCAAGGGTCATAAAGTCTTGTTATCTCTATCAAGAGGTTGGTATTTGCCTTTTCCCTGCCCTCTTCAGCTGTCTTAAGTGAATAAAAGTGAGACAAGTTTATTTGAATCGGATCTCCTCCCTGTTAAGTACGTTTATTATTTTGGGGGCTTCAGTGGAATTCCCCCATTGTCTGACTAGCTTAAATCTAATGAACGATTTTTTAAAATGATGAAATGCAAACCCCTAGGCATGCTGCAGGAAATCTGACCTGTTTGCAAGATCATGGTCCCCCAGAAATGCTGTTTAGATATGAGGTCCCATCTCTCCGGTCTCCCTTTTCCACAACCTCCCTGCCCCCATATTGTATCTTCACCTTGGACAAGTGCCCCCCTTTGCGGGGAGCACAGCTCAAGTTAAGGCGGCCTGACATGCTCTCTCTGGGAGCTGCACCATGCTTTCCATCCGCTCGGCTGGTACCTGCTCTTGGAGCAAGCTGAATTTTCTCTGGCCTCAGTAGGGTGATTTTCAATATGCTCTTTATTAGCTGCCTAACCGGGAAGCCACTGGATTTGTGGGCTCTGAAAAGCAAACTTTGTTTTTTTGCTTCATCAGCCCCCTCGTCTTAAATCCCTCAACTTGACTGCAGAATCATAAATAACTGTAGAGAGCAGCTGTGGGCAGGAGCTGGCGAGAATCTAGAGGCTGCCCAGGGAAACACAGCACTGCACATGAGCACGTGTCACTGCAAGTCTGGCAGGGTCAGAAATCCCAAGGCCTGCTGAAAGAGGGCCTTGCATCTGCCCCCAAGTCCAGTTAGCCCTAGCTTCAGAAAAGGCAGGGCAGACAAAACCCAGAGACCTTAAAGTTCCCGGGAGGCTTTCAGGTTCTGTGAACTTGACTCAGCTTACCTTAAAAGGCAGCAAATGGTAACGGGACCAGTTCCCATCTAGAGGAGATTTAATTATTCTATTGAAACTTAGTGTGAGCTAATAGCTCAGATGATTTCTGAGAAGTCTGAAGTAGTTCTCTGAGGTCAGTAAGAAAACATCTACCTACAGATTGTGGGTTCCTGCCACTTCCGTTATGTATCTTTCAAGGCATGTCTAAAGTTACTTTTCAGAGATGGCGCAGTCTTCCTGGGCCTGTGAGGGCATTCCGTGTGAAACACAGTATTTAGAGGGAGGGAGGGACTATAAAAGCTTTAAATAGCTTTTCCTATCTGAGCCATTTCTTCAAATTTTCTTTCTTTCTTTTAATACATCTCTGGGCAGGTCCGCGCTGCTGCCCCGGGGACAAATCAGTGCAGCTCACACGCCGTGGGGAAGGACGCCAGAGCCTCGGTCCTGCACGCCATCCTGCCTGCCCTCCTCTCTGTCCATCCCAGGGCCAGCTAGGGATTCTGCCTTGCAAACTGTTTTACAGAGCAACCAAGCTGTGTTTTTCTAAGGAGAGGATCCATCCTTGACAGACCTCAGGGGTGATCTACCACAAGGGTTATCCAACATTCCTCATTAGAGCCTTAAGATTCTGGAAGCTGCCAGGGGGAAGTGCTGGGTTTGAGGTAAGGTGGGCCGGGGGGGCTCCTATTCTCCCCTCTGCTTGCAAGAGAGCAGCAGTTGCATAGAACACATTTAGCAGCTTTCCTGTGCAGACGTTTCTTAGAAGATTTTGTTTATAAAAGGGTTCCATGGCTAAGAAGTTTGCAAACCTTTGCTCCATTTATTCCCAGGTCAGCTAAGATCTCCTCTTACAGAGTGAGAAGGGGCATGGTGACATGACATGCCGTGAATTCCTGTCTCCTGCCCTTACCTTCGTGGATCCCACCGAACACATGGAGCTTGGGCCGGACTCGCCTCTGGACGGTGTTTAACAGCTCCACGCAGCCCACTCTCTGAAGCTCCTTTGGAACCCAGTCTCGAAAACCTAAGGGCAAAACGCAATCAATACACTTAATTTTCTTTCTTCAGGTAAGGGTTCATTTAGACTTTCAGGAAGCCGTAACTCACGGAAGGTTTATTACATTATCTGTAATCCGAGCCTCTCCATTAAAGCTCACAATGGCTTTTAAGAAACTTTTCACTCGTCACTTTGTCTTCTTTAGATTCTTGAATTTTTTTTCCCTTGCTTTCCATTTTTTTCTTCCTGTTAATTAACATTTTTTTCCCCCCTGGGAGGGATATGATTTATTCAGCCATGGGTTTCAAATCTTCTTCATGGGCTCAATGACATTTATTCCTGGCAGTCCCATAATATCTCTTTCTCCCTCAATTCAGTTACTTTTTCTTTCTTTCTTTTTTTTTTTTATTCTATCTTTCTTGGAACAGTTTACTTCAACGATGTTCAAAGAGGAAGGGTGGGAGGGGGCAGCCCATAAAGGGGCCACCAGATTCCTTACTCTCTTTAGACACAGTAACTCTTACCCCTTGGTGGGTCCCGATGACCATAGCTTTGGAAAGCCGAGTTTGTCCCTCTCCTCTCCTTTCCAGCAATAGGCAACAATGTGACCTCACGGTGGCATCCAGTGAGCTGGGGCTAATTGACTACTTTTAAAATAAAAGCCACTTAGTTCTTCACTTAATGCAGAAAATCCATAAAAACTGACATCAATTACAGCAAAAGTCAGCTATCTGGATGATTGCGTCCTGGAATGGAATCCATATACTTCAGCAGGATGGGCCATAACAAAGGCAGGTGGGATGGGAGGCTAAATTGTAACCTGAGAAAATCCATTCCACAGGCCCATTAGGTTATTTCTACTATTTAGAAATGACTAGGCAGAGGGGAACCGTTTTCTGCTTTGTTGGGTGCAGTGGCAGAATATTTAGAATCTGGCTAGCTGGGGTTCAGGGAGAGAGCAGAGAGACTGGGAAGGACAGATGAAAGGGAAGTGAGGGCCCAGCAGCACTCCAGCCAGAGTTTTCAAAACTTAGAAAAGATCCTTAATGCACGCTGCTTGGCACATTACCTCATGGGTGAGGGCAACCATTCCATTTCACATAGAGGCATCTGAGAAAGCCTCTTGTTCCGGCCATCATAGTAAAATCTCACAGAACTGTGACCTCCCTCACCAGTAAGAAAGAATTCAAGGCCAATCTCCAAGGACTCCTCTTCCCAACACAGCATTTTTGTAAGAATCCCAATAACTGTATTAACTTAGGTTCAACATTATCTTTCGAAAACTTTGCCCACCTTTTTTTCATTTTGGAACTTCTCCACGTAGATCTCACTCTGCTACACACACAAGTGGCCTCTCTATTAAGAATTCCTGAGATGTCTGAATGCTTTGGAGTCTAAAACTCAGGCTATTACTGTCACTTGCTTTTATACCAAAATTAAAGATGTGATAAAAGTCTGTGAACTGCTCATTCTATTGGAACATTTATTCCAAATACTATTCCAACTGTGTAAATGTTTCTGTGCTGATGATATCCAAGTCCCTTTAAATAAAAACAGCTCAAAGGAATTCTTGCCTGCAACCAACTAGGCCAGGCGTCCTCAAACTACGACCCGTGGGCCACATGCAGCCGGCCTAGGACATTTATCCAGCCTGCTGGGTGTTTTTGCCGCCACTGCCTGTCCTGCTTAGCAGTCGACTCATCCCAGGGCCTGCAGTTGAGCCCTCCAATGGTCTGAGGGACAGTGAACTGGCCCCCGTTTAACAAGTTTGAGGACCCCTGAACTAGGCCATGTAGGCAAAAAGATCAGGGTAGCTGGAACAGTAATTGTATTGGGTGCTCTCCTTGGGTAACTCATGTGGATCAGAATATTTAGCTAGCAATTTAAGGATTTAACTAACTAGTAAATCCAGCTATAAAATGGAAATTAATCATGACCTCATTAATTATGACTTGATAAAGGTTGACAAGTATAATCTTTGAAAACATGTGATGGGGTCCTATTGACAAGGAAAAAAAGCATAGGCGTGGTAATTCTGAAGTGTGGAAAAAGTCAGGAACTGCCTACCTCATGCAAATCTGTGCAGATCCCACATCCACAACATCAGACATGGATTTCTTTCTTCCCCCATCACTAAACTGTGCTATTGAGCCTCTGCCCTGGTTCTCCTTTCCAATGTTTCTTTGTGAAACATGGACCACTTCCCTTATAAGGGAAGGACAACGTCACCAAGTGGCTTACAGGAGAAAATCTCTACAAAAATTAAATTTGCATTAGAGGGTACGTATTTGTTTTTTATTAATTTTTATTTTTGGAACAAGGTCTTTTTAATTTTATTTTACAGGGGACAAGGTCTTATCCTGTTGTCCAGGTTGACATGCAGTGGAATACTCATAGCTTAAGATAACCGCAAACTCCTCAGCCTTCTGCCTCAACCTTCCAAGTAGGAGGACTACAAAAATGCACCACCATGCCATGCTAACTTTTTATTTTTTTTCTTTTACTTTTTGTAGAGACAAGGTCTCACTACACTGTCCAGGCTGGTCTTGAACTCCTGGTCTTAACTGATCCTCCCATCTGGGCTTCCCGAAGTGCTAGGAGAATATTCAATGTCTTTATTTTTCAGGCTGACAGACGAGGAATTGACATGGATCACAACGCTCAAACACAGGAAAGACTGCAGCAATCATCTGTCATTGTATCAATTATTTTCCTCATCTCTCCAAACCAAAATGACGCAAAAAGTCTCTTAGTACTATACACTCAAGAATTTGTTAATAGGGTAGATTTTGTGTTATGTATTTTCTAGCACAAGAAAATACAAGAAAGAAAGAACAAAGGGAACATGCCACTATTAAAAGCGAAATATCCGAATTTCCTGAGCACACCTTAGTTGGATAGGAAGGGTCCTGGCATAATGGTTAGTGAGTAGACCTCGTTGAAAGGTGGGTAAGCCAAACAGATAATAAGCTCATGAATAATTAGAAGATAATAAGTCAAATAATCATCTTCTGACCCATAATCTGGATCACTCGGGGGTAGCTTTGAAGCACAGAGACAATATAAACCCGGATGTGGCTCCATGTGCCTACAGGATGAGTATCCTTAAGTAACTTTCAGCCGAAGTCCTTACTGAAATACCTTAGTTTAAAAATAAAAGATCCTTTTCTCAAATAATCAGCTCAAATGTAAAACTATAAAGATCCCCCAGGTTCCGGCATTATATGGAAAAAGAAAATGAGCTCCTTTGAACAAAAATTTCCATTATTTCACCACCATTCAAAAGCCCTGTGATGGGGAGGCCTCTATCTTCTTTCCATTCTGTACCCCACCCCTTTTACTCCCAAGTGAATGTAGTTTTTAAAATAAATTATCAAGAGCTCAAAAGATTGTGGTGCGCCATACTCATCTGATTTTTTCCCTGACTCAACTAAATCAAAAAATTTAATTTTAAGAACACCTGTAAGCCCAGCAGAACTGCTGAGTTTAATTATCATACTGTGTTTCTTTAAAGACGTTGACTTTTCTTTTTGTATTCACTTTTTTTTTTTTTTTTTTGGAGGGAAATGATGATGTCCCTGAGGTATTATTCATTATGCTTGGGAAAAAAGGCCTCTCCTATGACAAAGGACAACCTTTGCTTCACTTACCTAGAGGAGGTCCATGTGTCATGAGTATGTCGATGCCCTCAGGGATGAGGTTCCACTTGTCCAGCAGAGACTGACCTCTGGGCAGGTTAAAGCCCCATCCATTAAACCACGGGGTCCTTTGGGGGAGATAATGCACACGGTATCAGGCCAGCAGAGCCACGTCTCCGCGCTGCAATATTTCTCTCTCGCACATTCCCCCACAGTTTGTGTTGCTCTCTTTTCTCTTTTTGATGGTTGGCCCTGGCAGCAGGATGCTTTTTTGTTGACTGCTTCAAAACCAACGCATGTGAAAGCAAGCGTGAAGCCTACGAATTATTCCACTAGAAAAGGGCGCAGGAGGCTTTACAGTGGAGACCGTCCCAGCAAGCCTCTATCAAAATCTTGACAGTGCTTTGTCTTCCCCCCAATCTCAGTGTTTCCTAAGATACCCTGCCCTGATCCACAGTGTTTCCACCCTTCCCGTAGTGCCTCAGAGCTAAGAAATTCTACAGCACGCCTTCCCCCTCCCCATCACTACAGAGCTGTTTCACCAGAAAGGTGCTTATAAAGCATCCTTGGAGAAGTGCACGAGGGCTCAGAGACAGAAACCTCTATCCCCTGAGAGGTTTTGAACACCCTGGACTGAGGTTTCAGAAAAATTATGGGGACTTTGAAACGCGAGAAGGAGCACGGTGAACAAAAAAGCAAATTTGAACTTTTTTTTCTTCGGCCACCAAAGAGAAGATTTGGGGGACATCCCTAGTCGGTCACTCTGAGGTCCTCTCCTCTGATAATGAACGTGAGCATTTCCCCATCAGAGGAACTTCTGCTCCAGGAGTGAGTTTCTGAGATTGAGGCTCTGTGCAGAAGGGAATGGAGTCTTTGTCCCTCCCAAAAGCACTTCTAATTTGAGCTGAACACATCTTGTTTATAACACAGGTAATGGAAGGATGATCGATTTTTCTCGATGAATATTACAGGCTAAAGCTCATTAGATCTAAGCAGTTCCCAGTATTATCCTAGCTCCAAACATCTAGATATAACCAGGATCCTTTGAAATCGTTCTTTGGTTCTGGGTGACAGTTCCAGTTTGCTAGGACATACACGTAAAAGGCAAGTCAATTTTCCAGCTACGTTCAACTTTCCCCTTCAGCATCAAGCTGCCCCTTTTTCCATGCCAAATGAAAGAGGCAAATAACCTTCTGTAAAGGGGACCCTAACCTCGTCAGTCACAGCTGATCATATGGACAGTCATTGGCCAGACTGACCAGATTCCCTCAAGAATTTGAACTAAGAAACACTAACACACTATTCATTTGGTGGTAGACATGCATGGTCATGGCCTGAGATAGAAGGAAGCATCAACAGAAAGTCATGTGAAAATCCACATGGCAGATGAAAACCTCAGTTCCTACCGGGGTGGGTGAGAGAGAAAGTTCCAGAGAAAAGAGACTGTGTGGCCACAGGTAGAAAAGAAAGTATCTGTCTTGCTTTCTGACCACTCCCCAAGTCTCTAAGCCAATGATTTTCAACATCTTCGCAGTGGTACACAGGAGGGTGGTGACAGAATCTTAGGTGTGCCACAAAAATTTTTAAAGATCACTAATTAAATTACTTTCTAAATAGGTCCAAAGCACAGTATTTTTTTTTTTTACTTTTTTTTTTTTTAAGAGACAGAGTCTCATTTTGTCACCCTCAGTAGAGTGCCATGCGTCACACAGCTCACAGCAACCTCCAGCTCCTAGGCTTAGGTGATTCTCTTGCCTCAGCCTCCCGAGTAGCTGGGAATACAGGCACTCGCCACAATGCCTGGCTATTTTTTTGTTGCAATTTGGCTGGGGCTGGGTTTGAACCCACCACCCTTGGTATATGGGGCCAGCGCCTTATCCGCACTGAGCTATAGGCGCTGCCCTTACTCTTTTATTTTGATCAACATAATTTAAGCGCAACACAGATGTTTAACTGTAGGTTCCAGTGTGCTGTGAGATAAAAAAGGTACTCACTTGTGCTAACGATAATAATATATTAAGACTAAACATTATTGTAGCTCTTGTTTATCTACTGCTTTTGTTGTATTAAGGTACTATTCTAAGCACTTTATTTGTATTAACACATTTAAACCTCAAAGCAAACTCATGAAGTGGGTGCTATTATCTTTGTCACCTCATAATGAAGAAACTGAGGCAGTGAGATGTCAGGTAAACACAACTAATACCTTGGGATAGAATCCCACAAAGTCTGGTTCCAGAACCTGTGTTTGCCCACTAAGCAATCCCTCCTCTCATATACTATCTTAATTAACGTACTAGTCTCCTTGCATGAGACACTTCGGTTCTCTTTCAGGGTTGAGTATCTTTGTGCTTGAAGCCAAATAAGCTCTAAAGTGAAATAACGTTTCAACTCCTTGGTCCCCAAATCTAGTTCTAACAGGGCAGAGTGGGCACCTGCTGTGTTTGCCTCCCTTCTTTTGGCGACAACATCTGATTTTCTTTTGGAGAACGCCTCCTTCTCCCACTCAGCGTGTGTGCTGTGCTCTAGATGAGGCAAGTACGAAATCTTCCTGAACGGTGCACCTGCTACCCACCTTGCATCAGTGGGGGCCGTCCAAAAAAGAGGTCGTGGTTTTCTTTCTGGGATCCTGAGTCTCAAGACCTCAGTAAGCCTGCAATTGCCTAGGAGGTATCTTAGCCGTCACGCAGATAGCCTCTTTTTTTTTTTTTTTTTTGCCTTCACAGGATTAAAAAGGCTAACTTTAATGACAATAACAATATTTAACGTAAGGACCGAGGACAAAAACCTCATAAAGAATGAATGAAGATAAATACATTCAGAAAAGAAATCAGACGATTTCTGAAATTATCTTTTACTTTTATTTATAAATATTAGTTTTATTTATAAATATTACTTTTACTTTTACTTTATTTATAAATATTATCTTTTACTTTTATTTATAAATATTAGTTTTTTTTAGACTTTGGAAAAAACAAAATAAGAAGTAGTTAACTGAGCAAAGTATTCTATCATAGACATACTTCTATCTGACAATGTGAATGTTACTTTCTTTGCATTATTGCTATTATTATCACTTAATATTTCATTGCGGCAATCGTCAGATAGCCTCTTCTTGAGAATCAAACCAACACAAAGAAACCCAAGACAAGAAAGAGGTTTCAATGATATCGTTGGAAGTACAGATCCAGCTGTGTCTGAAGCTAGTGGAGCTTTTCCTTACTAGTATAAGAGCCAGTGAATTCCTTTTCTTTTCATTAAATTGAGCTGGGTCCTGTTTCTTAAATCAAAAGAGTCTTAATGAATACAGTAATTGTATGCAGTAGACCAGTAGGAGGCAATGATGCCTGTATCCGCACCTCTAACCCCAACATACATGTCCTAATCCCTGGAACTTTGTGAATATGTTACTTTACATGGCAAAGGGAATTATGGTCACTGATGGGACTCAGCTGACTATAAAACAGGGTGCGTGTGCTGCGTTATGCAGGTGGGTCCAGTGTAACCACAGGATCCCTATAAGTACAAGAGGGAGCTAGGAGAAGAAGATCATAGTGATACAAAGTGAGAGGGCCCCAACCTGCTCTTGCAGGCTTTGGAGACGGAAGAAGCCATCTCCAAGTGATGTGGACAGCCTCCCGAAGCTGGAAAAGGTACAGAAAAGAAAGATCCTCCCAGAGAACCTGCAGAGAGGAACACAGCCCTGCGGATACCTGCATTTTAGTCTGGTGAGACCCATGTTAGACTTTTGACCAATATACATGTAAGATAAGTATGCACTGTGTGATGCCACTAAATTTGAGGTGATTTATAGGAGAAACAGAAAACTGATACAGTAAATACAGTACCTATGATGCCTGCATTGGCTATAAAATACAGGGACTGTGCGGGCTCTGGGCCTTACATGGTTCCCGGCATATACCGGGTCAGCACGACCCCACCAAGCCAGGCTGTCTGCTGAGCTAGACCCAATGCTTTTGGAGTCCTTTGAGGAGAAGAAAGTGCTCACTTTCTTACCCCAGTCTGCCGGGGAGGCACGGAGCACCGCAGGCCTGGGGATAATGCCAGCTAGACCCCATTAGAGCACGACTGGTCAGTCTCACTCTCTGTTATTCTTCTAGGACTCCCTGCCTTCAGGTTCTTAGACGCTTTCATTCACGTCTAAAGTTCGGCCTTCCGAGTTTGGGATGCTTGTCCTTCTCTTTCATTTTATAACCACCCTTCTTCAAGATTTGTTTTAAAAGTAAACATGAAACAAAAAGGCAACTTCAGAACCCAATGAAAATTCTATGAGCATTTCAGCCAAAGAGAGACAGAGACAAAAATAAGCAAAAACATCTGTTTTCCTAGATTTGGAAAATTAGTTCCTGTCTGGATGGCCAATGAAGAAGGATTTGAAAGAGTCCCAAGTATACCCAAATAACTGGTACAAAGAGGGGCTCTGATTTTACTGCCTTTCTGAGAACAGTCAGCCTCTGAACCCGTAAGACACACAGGGGCTTCTAGAGTCAAAGGAACAAGACTTAATTTTTTCAGTCTTTCCAGTTTTCCCTTGGAGAATTTTTGCTTGGAACCCCACAGCCATATTCCCCCAGGACATGCTGTTTTGTAAGTACTCTGTAAAAGATAAGACAAAAACCCTATGGTGTGTAGACACCCGAACTTTCATTTGGTTAACGCTAAGTTGAATGACAAAATCCAGAAATTTCCAAGTTAAGGGTAACAGCTGAAAAATGTCTGGTTTCTAGTTTGCCTCAGATCTGTATGCATGTGAGAGTGAGCGCAGTGAAGGACAGGAAAAGGTACATCTTTTCGAGTCCCTGATATGTTTACAGAGAACTTTGACGTAGATTATTGAATTTAATTCTTCATAGCAACCTTTAAGGTAGGTAGTCTCAGCTCTATTTTTTAGCTAAAAACCTGAAGATCGGTGATATCAAGGAACTTGTTCACGTTCCCCGGACCAGTAAGTAGGACAGCTAAAATGTGAACCCTGATCCACTGGCTCCAAAGCCTGGGTTCTACCTTTGCACGATCGTGACTAAAAGCTTCTAGTCCAGTTTCACTTTTGGCTCACAGATATGCTAAGTGAAAGCATGGCTTCTCCATACAGTTTCTTAGGCTGGGT